CAAAAACTCCTCCTCCTCCTAACACTCTATCTATAATATTTGAAAATAAATTAGTTATCCCCAATACTAGCGTCTTTATCCCCACCTTCTAGACAATCGATACAATTAGGAAGAATTTTTCTTCCTAATTGTATCTTAGATCTGACATCACTTCTTTTGAATTCTATAATATATTTATTGAGGCCTAAATTAAGTTCTCCAAAGAAAAATTATTTTATATAACAATATTCCCATGAAGAAGTTACCTTTCTGATGAGAGTATTACATTATGTAAGGATGTGCAGGTGGTGTAATGAATAGCAGCTTGGAATGAGAAATCAGAGGACCAAGTTCAAATTCCAATCATGTTCGTTTCATCACTTATTCACTAATTACCCTTTGGAAAGGTAGAAATCCATAACCATCCCACCTCCTGTTCCATCTATATACTGTACTTTTCAGTATTTCTAATAATAAATAAAAGAAATATTTGTTTTTCTTTTATAGAACCAAGTAGTGATGAGCTGAAACGCCTGATGATGTTACATGGAGGACGTTATGAGATGTACTTGTCAAAACAAAGAGTGACCCACATCATTGCCTCAAATCTGGCTGGCAGCAAAATCACCTCCCTTCATAATTACAAAGTAGTTCATCCTGACTGGATCCTTAAAAGGTAAGAACTACTTGTCTTTACTCCTTTTGTGCCATAGTTTGATAAAAGTTAGATCCATTTTGCAGGGTGCATACAGGTCCTGAAAACCTTAAAAAAGTCTTGGAAAAGTGACAGGACCTTTTCCAAAATAATTTCCTTAACATATATTATTCATAAAAGCCATTAAAAAAATCGGGGCTGAGTAAAACAGTACAATGTTGCTTTTGGCTAAATACTAATTACAGCAAGATCATTTCAGTTTTTGTCTAAACTTTCATTTTGGGGACTTATCTATTGTGAATGTCATATAATAAACTCATTGTTGGACGAGTAGGTAATAAAAGTTTACATTATCAGCTAATATTTTCTACTGTGATATTATCAGAATAATTTGACAATATTTTCAACATTATCTTTGAGAATATAAGTAGTTTGATTCCTAAGACCATTTCTGCTCTAAGAGAATGGAAAGTTTTCAATGAAGAATTTTTTTTTTTTGTATATATAAATCCAGATGAATTTTTAGTACATGTATTGAAAACAAATCACTTTAAATGAATATTTTATATTTTTTCTTTTAATATTTAAATTTTTATTTTATTTTTTTTAAACAATTCCACCCCAAGTAAGCTAGCAAAGCCACTAAGACACAAGGGGTTACTGGGTGTGGACAAACTAGAAAACAGAAACATTGCTAAGTAGCGAGAATGAAAGAAATGTAATCAAGAGGATTGTAGATAGCAATTGACATTGCATTTAAATTTTTGATGATTAAAGTTGACTGGAAAGCATGAAGTCAAAAGTCAATGAAGTCCACAAGTAAGAAGTGCAAGAAGTCAATGAAGTCCACAAGCAAGAAGTGCAAGAAAAGAAAATGTTAGCATAGTAATTACAGTTACATCTAACCAACTTGAGTGTAAATTGCAAGACCTCATTGCCAGTCTAGGACTTCACTTAAATTCATTAAGTCTAGGTATCATAGCAAAGAATTCATCCAAACAATTATCATGAAATTATTTATAGAAAAGTCAGAGGGAGGCAACTTTACGGCAGTGGGAAAGTGACTGAGGCCAAGATGCCAGGTAAGAACCAATATTATCACTGATTCTTTGGATTTTATCAAGGATATCTAAATATATAGCAGGAGCACTGGACCATATGTGGCAGCAGTATTCTAACAATGGACAAATGGCAGACTTATAGATAAGAATTCTCTCATTCTTGCAAAATAGCTGTTGTCTTTTTCTTTTTTTGCTACATTACATGGAAATATCCAAAATTGAAATAGTCATGATTTTTGTTTCATTTCTTAAGAAAAACAAGCATGACAAATACCATGACTATTAAGGATAATTTTTAATAATTTCTTCAGATATTTCTCTCTCTCTCTCTCTCTCTCTCTCTCTCTCTCTCTGCCTAAATTTGGATATTGAATAATCAGATCTTACCAATTTTCACTACTCATAACCATTTTCAGGTGATGCTTATTTTCTTTCCAATAGCATTGAAGCTGGTCAATTGCTGTCCTATACATCATTCCAGCTCTTTACCACACAGTCAAAATTACAAAAGGGTATAATGCAATTTTCAGTTGGAGCTGACAAGACTCAAAACTCAACAACCACATTCAACAAAACATATTCTTCATTATCATTTCCAACTGACAGAAACAATTTTCAGACAAAGAATGCAGTTTCATCCACAAATTTTGAAAAAGAGGTAAGCTTCATATTATGTTTATTCTAAATGACTTTTCAGTCATTTCCTTAACTTAGCATTATTTATAAATATTTCACAATGTTTCATACCATTATATATTGGTAGGTATGGAATGAAGTATTACATTGACGTTTTGATTTATTTATGGAATATGGAATCTTCAGCCAACATTTAAACTAAATGTCTTTCATAACTATTATATATTTTTAACTCAGGTTTTTTTCTTTTTTTTCATTTTTTTAATGTTAATTTTTATCTGCAGTTATTATTTTATAACTGCTACCGAACCAGTATGAATTAAAGATAGAATGATGATGTGAGAATTATAAAAAAAACAACAGAAATAACATGAAAAAGAGACTAATCAAAACTTATAAGTTCATATACATACTGGTGTATAAACAAAAGTTGTGCTATCAAGAGTCTTCATTGAGATGATCACTTTGGGGTCAGACAAGGTTTTCAGGCCCAAAGCATTATAACTACTAACACAGTTGACCTCTGCAGTACCTTACAATACTACCATACTTTCCATCACAGTGTGGAAATACTAGATGCTAATGCAGCCACATCATATATTCTTGTGTTCACATCTTTCCAGACAATGTTCATGGATAAGGAAAAAAGATGTTAATTATGAGATTTGAATTAACTGATCAGATGCCAATGTGAAAATGTTGAACAGTGACCATGAACTAGTAACTTGTACCATGAAAGGAATCCTGTTTATTTTCCAAACATTGTTTCTTTTTAATCAGTCTACTTTCTCAAACTGAGATTTACACCTCTGTCAATGAAAATGTTTCATCTATTAAAAAAGCCTATAATATTTTAAAATAAGTTTCCAAAAATCAAAAGAATTTTACTCAAGGACTATGTTATATTTAATTTGGGATCTAATTGGTTTTGGTTGGAAAAGGATGCTATAAAATATTTCTGAATCAAGAAGAATTATTTCTCCATCAAATGGGGAAGAAAATTAAAAGACTGTATGAAATCTAATGTTTACAAGAATGGGTAACATTTATCCAACTTAATCTTTTGCTTCTGAGAATCATGGATTTAAAAAAACATTGCTACACTTTCAATTTTTGTTAATGTGCAGATCACAAGAGTAGAATGTTTCTAAGAAAAAATCTTCAAGAACTTCAGTAAAGAAAATATTTCTTACGGAAAATGTTTTTCTCTTGTTCTTCTCTTCTTTACTCTATTACTGTGACGGAGAGAGGGTCTGAAAAAAACACACAAACACACATATATATATTTTATCTTTTTTTTTTTTTTTTTTTTTAGTGAAATTGGACTGGATTTGAACAGCGAAATTAAATCAGAGTAATTTCATTTACTGATGGGAAATCTGATCTAGGGCACGAGCTGTACCCATTGGAACTGGGTCATTAGCAGACAATGGAAATGGTTGAAATAAATTTTTATTGATTAAAACTTGGAATAGATTTGAATAGTGAAATTAAATCAGAGCATTTTGTTTACTGATGTGGAAATTTGATCTAGGCCAGAAGTTGTACCCATTGAATCTGGGTCATCAGAAGACAATGGAAATGGCCGAAATAATTTTTATCAATTAAAAATTGAAATAGAGCTGAGTAAGCTAGAAGGACCTTTAGAATTCACATGATTTTGGTTGAAACAGCCAAAACCCTGTGATAATCACTTGCAACCAAGGTTCAGTTGTAACCAGCCGGATTTTTCTATATAAATGCGTAGTTAGGCTGCAAAAGTCAGACAGGAGAAATTTCTTGAAAAGAGGAGAGAGACTTGGCCCGGGCGAGCGTTGAGACGGGAGAGAGAGACTCAAGAAGGAGAGAACATGACATCAGAGATTGGAACGAAGCAGCCGCTAATATGTGTTGTTGATATAAGTACCGCTGCTCTGTTACCACAAATATTACTACTGCTGTTACGGAGGAATGCTACTATAAACTTTAAGCATCTCACAGAAATCTTATTTCCCCATCACAAGAGTTGTATATCGTTCTGAGACGATTTAATAACAAGTTAACCATAACACACTCTCTCTGTATCCAGAATCCAGTGTATGTGTTTTTACGTCAATTACTTTTCTGCTATATAAAAGACATTAACAATTCAATCATTGAATAGCTGTTTGTCCGGCTTTCTGCAGATATTATTTTTTTTTTTTTTTTTTTTGCTGCATTCTAAATTTCTTAGCACAGACTCTCCAGCTGTGTCTACATCTTCAGTCCACTGTGAATAGATGGACATCACTTCTGCTTTCTGGGCTGGGGCAAAAGTTTTAGATTACTTTAATGATCTGTAATGTAGTAAAATCAGCAAGAATAGCATTGTGAATAGGTGAATACTGTCTGTGGCAAGTGCACTTCAACTTTGTTAATAGTTTTATATTGGATTTTAGTTCTTGATGTTAATGTAAATAATCTAGAAAATTAATTACTGAATGCTTGAGCAGTAATGTAACTCATATGTGTATTTTGTTGTGTTTTAATATTTTCTATAGAGAAAGCTGTCCCCTAGAATTATTAAAAGCATTATTTGCATCATAACATGTCTGGATTGAAGATAATACATAACAGTATAGACTAAGTTTGTATTTTGAAAGTCTAAAATGTATGACATATACTCTAGATTCTTTGGTAATTATGGATTTTATTCTTGCTAATATATATATATATATATATATATATAAAGTAATACTTAATATATGAATCCATTTGTTTTATTTCTTCTTTACTGTATATATAAAAAGGATATGATGGTAGTATAAAGGATATCAGCAGAGGAAGGGGAATTGGTAAACCAAATTCAAATCCCAGACTAAATTGTTGCAATTCACTTTTGTAAAGAAACAATTTGGAAAAGGTTTGAATTGCTTTCTCCATCCCTACTCTGCCAACTAGAGGCTAGATAGCAGATTAAACTGGATTCTCTAATCTTTAATGGTGACTCAGAATTCCAAACCATGGAGAAGACAAAAAAAACATTCCATTAACTTTCCTAACAATACATGACAATTCATAGATAATAAAGAAAAGGAATTTGTGGAGAGTCATGATCTCACACACACACACACACACACACACACACACACACACACACACACACACATATATAATATTTATTAACAATTATAACAAAAACAGTGTTTCTTCAAGCACCTATAGTGCTGAAACATGATTGCATTTATGTAGCAGTTTATAACATGTTTTTGCTATAATCATACTTATTATAAAACCCAGGTTGTGTGTGTGTGTGTGTGTGTGTGTTCGTTTATATATTGGATCGGATTTCCTACATTTTTCAACCAATTTCAACAAAACTTCTCACAGTGCCAAAAATTGGAAAAACACAATTGTTTTTGCACAAAATCAATTTGAAAACACAATTAAGAGGCATCGCTGTTGCGAGAATGAAAGAGGGACAACTCATATCTAGTTATACTTATTATAAAACCCAGGTTGTTTGTGTGCGTGTGTGTGTGTGTGTGTGTTCATTTATATATGGGATCGGATTTCCTACATTTTTCAACTGATTTCAACAAAACTTCACTTTTTTTTTGGCAGGTAGTGTTTCTTATTGTCTTGCACACTTTTTTTTCTTTATTTTTACATTCAGAATGCTTTAAAAATTCCATTTACAAGACAATTGTTTATAATAAAATTCTATTCAGTTGGTAGACTCATAACAATTGAAAACAATGTTTTTGTTTGAGTTTCACCAATACGTAAAAAAAAAAAAAAAACAAAAAAGCTATTTAAGACATGCGTGTCCATCAACCTTAAACAATAATCTTTGTCAGTTTTATTTTTCAGTCTTTATGATGGTTGATACTTGATCTATCTCTTACTGTTACATCCCTGGGCAACGCCAGACTCTACTGCTAATTGTTAATAACTAGTATTAATGTCTACTCTGTATTGAGCACATTTTTTAAAATATAATGTTTAGATATTGGAATTAACCTATCTTACACTTGGAGATAGATACATACATATATATATATATATATATATATATATATATATATATATATATATATATATATATATAAACACAAAACTACTTCATTTAAAAATATAACTCATAATTATTTATGGACAAATTTCTATACAAGTATTTTCTCACCAATCTTTCTACATTATTGTTTTCTATAGGCTTGTGAAAGTACTATCTCTGACTTTCTGGACAGCCCTCAGAGTTGCAATTCTGATGATCTTTTTTTATCAAGTGTTGATGAATCATCCCAAGAATCAAAGAAATCCAAAAAAAGTCAGGAGAGCAACAGAGGAAACCATGCAAATTCTTCACCACCGGAACCAGTCCCTTCAACCAATAAACCATCTCTTAACTCAGATTTTAATCTTAACCCAGAAAAAGCTTTGAGACCTTCACTGTTAGAAGACAATGATGAAATGTTGGCATCTCCTTTGGAAATGAAGGTGGAGGAGCCATTGTCATTCACAAATGCTGTTGAGAACAAAGCAGAAATCTCTACTTCAAATGCTATTCAACATAGAACAATGACTGCTGAAGAGTATCAGGACAAACCAATGCAGAAGAAAGATAAAAATGAAAATGCACAAGAATCATCAAAAAAAGCTCCCCAAATAAATATTAATTACAAATCTTCAATATCCCCATCAAACAACAAACCAAAATTAACTTCTGTTCCTGTCTCCCTTCCAAAAATAGTTTCAGGTAATTTTAATTTTATTACTTACTCAAATGCTAAAATATTTCAGAAAAAGACTTATTTTCTATTTGAAGCTGATTTATTTAGAAGATAATATTTAATATTGCAGTTGGTTATAGCTATATTTTTTTTACTTTCAGTTCCTGGAGTTCAAATCTTTTACTGTTTTTCTTACAATTTCTCAACTTACAAAAGATTGGTGTATGTCTCACAATCTTCTTTTATGTGCCATGTCCTGAAGGGAGATGGACGATCATATCTCTTCCCATCTCCCTGTCTTTTGTTGCTCTAAGTAACTTTTGACTCTTTACCATCCTTCTTTGTCCTGGTTTTGACATCTGTTCACACAAAATAAATTACTGTTTCCCTTTTCTTTTCCTGTCTTCAGTATGTTGTGTTTCATCTTTTGAGGGACATGATCAAGGCAAATGTCCCTCAAAGTCCAAAACATGTCGGCTAACTTTAAATATCACTTGTTTCCCCAACTTCAAACTTTCTTCAAATTATCCATTCTTCAAGGGGTCTGTTTGAGTAAATTTATTTCCAATTTTTCCAAAGATGCAAAAAAATTAGAAATAAACTTATTCAAACAGAAGAATGAATAATTCCAAGAAACTTTGAAGTCGGGAAATAATATAATTATATATAACTAAGGGAAAAATAGAGAAAAACAAAAATGTCATGCATCTTTGAAGAGCAAGCAAAGTCTTCAGGTCTTAGTTTAATTAGATCCTCAAACCAGTGTTTGTACAGGTCCTGGAAACCTTGAAAAGTCCTTGAAAATTAATAGGGCCTTTTCAAGGGCTTGAAAAATCCTGGAAAAACAGCAATAGCCCAAAAGCTCCTTGAAGTCCTGGAATTTTCTTAATTGGCCAGCCCACATATCCCTTTTCTTAATTCATAAAAATCAAAATGCCAAGTACTAGAAATCTGGAATTTTTACAAGCTAAAATTGTCCTTTAAGAATTTTTTTTTTTTTTTTTAGTTGTCAGTAATATTTAGCAATGAATGAGCATTGTGGTGTAATGGATATGAATGTGAAGGCGTGTCTTCTATCTGCTACCCTCACTCAACAGGAAAAGAGAAAAAGCAAAGATAAAAAGTGTCATAGACAAGTAAACTGTAAACATCTTAATTCACAGTCATTGAATTTGTACTTGAAAAGAAAATAATAAATTATTTTACAGTAAGTAATTTTACAGTAAGTACATTTTAATTTTTACTAGAATCTCAAAACATTTATCAGTGTTTTTTAAAATTTGAACAATTGAAGAAATTTTATTCACATATCAAAAGTAAAAAGTCCTTTTGATCTCTAGTTGGCAGTGGGTGAGTTCATGCTGAAAAAATATACTTTCATGTCATTTTGTATCTATGTGTAAATTATATTTGTCTAAATTGTTGCAAATGTAACAAGCTTGAGAACCCAATTTGATTCAAAGAAAATGTAGCCATGAAATGATGGTAGAAAATATGCCTTTGATGTGTCTTAGGATAGGACAGAAAATGCATCTTTGAAAAAATAAGAAGAATGTTATTTTTAAAGTTTGCCAAGCTAATAATGACTTGTACCTCTAGCTTTTGTTGTAAGTGTGAAAAAATGATGAAATTTGACTTATTACTTGGCTAAAAAAGTTCAATTTGGCATTCCTGTCTCTTTACTTTTGCGTTTCTCATATGAATGGCTAGAAATATGTGAACAATTCCTAGACATTTGGCCAGATGTTATCAAATTTGTGATGAACTTAAACGAACAGGAATAATTATTCCCATTCATTTTAACTTTTTAATTCTGCTGATAATTTCAAAACGCTTTATGTATTTTTAAATTTTCTATTCTCCTGAATTTATTTCCGTGTTCTTTTTGTGTGGGTGTGTGTGATTGTTTTAATTTTTTATTATTCATTCATTATTGCTGATTTTAAAAAATGAAACTTAATATCTATTCTTTTTTTTTGACTTGAATTAGTCCATGCTGGGCCAGGCCAGTGCATGGCTCTCTGCACAACCCCAAAACTATGATATGGAAAAATAATTTATGTAATGGAAAATAATTTTTTATTCAATATTTAAAAAAAAACTTCATTGTTTTTTTGGTTTGTTTATTTAAAAAAAGTAAATAATTTTAAATAAATTAGGTTTTATTAAAGTAAAAACTGTAGCGAGCCTTATTTTTTGAAAATTGATTAAATATAAATAAAACATAAATCCCTATATAAATCTTCTTTATTAGAATCCTACAATATTTAAAAAAAACAAAAACTCTTAAATCAGTTTATATTTTTTTATCAATATAGATTCATGCAAATATTTAATAATGTAATGAACTTGAATAATCAAAATGTTTAAAATCAGGTCAGTATATAATTAAAATTATTTAAAGGAAATTGCATTAATTCAAAATACAAAAATGTATTAAAATCATGTAGTAATTTTATATTAATTAGTATATATAGAAGGATTAATTTTCATTTAAATTGCAAAAACTATAGCTATTTTTCGAAAATTTGTAGGAATCCTTCTACTCAGGTTTTTGTTAAATGTCAAAAGTCAGAGTGTCAGGATTCAATAAAATAAAATAAAATATTGTTTCGGGACTGCAACTGTAATTTGGCTTTTTAGAATAATACCATGATTTTCATTGAAAGAATAAAATCCAGTAGAAAAAAAAACAATGTAGTATCAACAAATAAACAATTTATGTACGTATATGAGAAACAGTGAAACGTTGTTATATGTGTGTTTGTGTGAAAGAGTAAGTACATGTATGCGTGCTTCTTAATAGTAACAGAGGATACAAGAGATAGTTACAATTTAGTTCTTACTGTGTCTATATCTCTATATATATATAGAGAGAGAGAGATTTTAAAAAATTTTTTTTACTCCTTTCTAACATGTTTGAAATTTTGGTTAAAAATCCTGTTTTTTTTTTTTTTTTGTGTCACTGGTATAGCAGGGCTGACTATGGAAAATTTTTCATGAATTTATTAGTATTATTTTTAAAAAATATTTAATTTTTTTTTTTTTTTTTTTTTTTTTTTTACTCACCATGTTACTTAATTTCATGAAATTTCTAGAAATTAAACTCTGACTTCTGATTTTTTTTTCACAGCCTAAATTTTTCTTCAGACTATAATATCCTTAACATATGTTATTTATAAAAGCAATTAAAAACTTCTCTAATTAAATAATGTCATAGTTTTATTGCAGTTTTTATATTACAATTTGGAGCAGATTTTCGGGAATTGAGTAACTTTTTTAAAAAAAAAAATGTGGATGATTTACATTCTCTAAGGAGTTCTGCATTTAACTAATAAAACAAATTTTGAGGTTAGAGTTTAATTTCTAGAAATTTCATGAAATTAAGTAACTGGGGAATAACAGTTGTAAAAAAAAATTTTACAAAGATTTTCTAAAAATAATAATTTCAAAAGTAAATTCATTCATTTGGGAATAAATTCTGAAAGTTTCATTAAATTCCAACAATTATTTGATTTTTGCAAGGATTTCCAAATCAATGTGTTATTTTATTGCAAAAAAGGCACAAAATTTTCCATGGTCAGCTCTGCTACACCACTGACACATAAAAAAATCAGGATCTTTAACCAAAATTTAAAATGTGTTAGAAAGAAGTCAATAAATTTTTAAAATCTCTCTCACTCTCTCTCTCACTCTCTCAAACTCTCTCTCTCTCTCTCTCTCTCTCTATATATATATATATATATATATATATATATATATATATATATATATGTTTACATTTTTTTGTGTATAACAATTGAAAGGCATTGTGCAAATCTTTTTGTGTGTAATAATTGAGGGAAATTGTGCAAAATAACGATAACCCACTGGCCCAAATACAAGTTATATTTGTTTTTGAAAAAAGAACTTAGTATTTTTCTTTATTCATTTGATCATTTTTAAGTGTGGCTATCAATTTGTGACTTCAAGTTTCAGAGCAAGTCATACAAATGGCTGCAATTTTCATAAAACCAAAACAAACCAGCTTTCAACCTAACTGAGAAAATATATGTTGCCATCAGTCAGCAAATTAACATTTAGATTCCGATAAATATTTATTTCATATATGGTGTTGTGGGAGTTACATATGTCAAGTGTTTCAGTTGGGAATAAACACTTGTCTCCTGGAATACCCACAACAAAGATGGCAGACTTTGTATTTGAGTCCACATGAATAAATGTAAAGAAACAACAAGAATCTTTACATGTACAAACAAATGATAATGTATTAATAAGAAAGATATACAACTGACAATGTGTGTAACAAAAGAATGTGAAAACCTTTTTTGTTCAAAGTATGTGAAGTGAGTGAATGTGCTTATGTACATGTGTGTGTGGTTCATGTGTTTCCCAATGGGAAATGCATTTTTCCACAAGAAACTTACATGTTGATATGTAAGTGGAAAAGGTAAGGAGAGTGAGAAAAAATATTGTTGAGTATTTATAGTCCAGAGAACATCCCCTAGTAATGGTTTCAGGAAAGTAAGTGAAGTTAATCCCTTATACTCCCCTCCAGAAGGGTAGAATTTTTCTGCCCATATGTAGTGTTCATGTAGGTTTGTTTCTGTCCTCATGAGCTGAAAAAAAAGGTGGGTGGTTGAGATGTGTGTTTAAACATATCAACAAAAATGTGCTTGTGCAGTCTTCAGAGTGCTGTATTATTTTCTCTAGTGGGTCAGTTGTAGCACATCCTGGAAGATACATCAGTAGAGTAGATTGTTCAGCATTAGCTATTGAATTTTGTCTTTTTCCAATGCTCTGCATTGAATTGCTTTTGTCATCTCTCAGATTGGTTTCTGTTCATTAGAAGGGTTTTGTCACCTCCCTACCCCCAAGATCTTGTACATCTCAAGTGCTGAGATGCTGAATAAACATTGAAGAAGTACTTATACACTGATAAATATAATCAATCCCTTAAATTTATTTCATTTATTTTTTTTTTTTTCATCAAGGTGTTCCTAACAGAAGGTCCGATTCTCTCAGTGCAAAAACAGCTCGGGAACCAAATTATCTTAATCAGTTCTATAACAACTCTCGTCTACATCATCTATCAACATGGAAAGTTGAATGGAAAAATTATGTTTCTGATATTAAGGCATGTCATAAGAACAATTTTCCTGGAAGAGAAAAACTGATATCATCAACTACTGTCACAAAAATCAATTCAAAGACAGATATCTTACCTTCCCATCGAACTATCATGCATATTGATATGGACTCTTTTTTTGTATCTGTGGCTTTAAGAGATAAACCAGAATTAAAAGGTAAGATAATATTTTATAAAATATCTCAATAATTTTCCTGCATATATCTGTCTGCAAAATTTTTCTTTTTCATTGTCAGCATGTGCTTCAAATAAATTTTATATTGAACCTGCTTAATATCAAACAAGTCTCTTATTTTAGAGGAATTAAATTAGTAATTATTTAGTTTATAACTTTTATTTATATTTCTAGTTTAGACTCTGACACGCTGTATCTGAGTATTCAGTTCTTGAACAATTGTGCTGTGCTTCCCAATTCAGACCTTTACAGCTAGGACACACCATGAGACTACCAAAGAGTCAAATCACCCTCATTTCTTCCATATTCCAACTGTAAAAAGTTCCAGTCATACAGCTTTTTCCAAAGGACTGCTTCTTTGTGGAATAAACTCTCAGTATATGCTTCCGAGAACACTGCAAAACCTCTTTAAGTCAATCATTATATATCCTCCTAAACTTCATAATCTTCACTTCCTACAACACTTTACATTTATATCTCAAGGCTTATTTAGTAACCATCTACATTGAGTAAATGTTGAGCCTTGTATTGAATGAATTTTAGTTTATTTTTAAAAATGACTTTTGATCATTAATTTCATATCACTGACCTGTTCCGACTGGCGAATATGGTTAACTCCCATCATGCTATTTTCTTCTTTGATATGTATCAAGTCCTCTGCCTTGAAGCCTCTAAAAATCTTTGAGTTGTGCTAAAGGAAAAGACTAGTTTATATAGATGCTATAGGTGTGATATTAAAAAGAATTTTGTAAAGGTTTTTTTTTGAATTTCAATTAAACTTTTAAAGCTTATCTAGTTATGTGAGTTTCTTTATCTAATTTTGATCATTGTTAATTAAGTACAATTTTTTCTTTCTTCTACATCTGAGACCATGAATTGACTATAATAGTAACTTTTATATATCTTTGCAGACAAGCCAGTAGCAGTAACACATTCTCAAAAGAAAGGTCCTTCTTCTAATCGGGCAGGTGTGAATGTGGATTATGAGAGACAGCAATGGATCAAACGGTGTCAAGAACGAGCTCTGAAAGGAAAAGTGCCTGCATCTGATGTGAATGCAATTGAAATTACATTTGATTCTGAGGAAGAGGATCTTGATAATGACACTGATAAAATATCAATTGTAAACCAAACTTGTCATGCAACTGAGCAGAAACATGAAGACAGTTCATCTTTGAATATTAAGTCAGAAAAACAAGTTCATCAATCATTCTCAGAAATTGCCTCATGTAATTATGTTGCTCGAAAGGTAATGGCTCTAAAAATTTAACTCTTTCTTTATAACCAAGGCATCATTTGAGGAAATGAAATAAAAGCAGATTCAAATTATGACTACTTAAAATTACTTTATGCAAAATGATTTGCAACATGTCCCACTATTAATCATTTGAGTTTTATTTTATCTTTTCAATAATATGGAACTATGAAATATCACAAGTGTAATAATAATTTCTAGTTTCAAAGATCAGATTAATCCACAAAGATAATTAAACCATTGCTCAGTCACAAGCATCTGAACACTCCTCTCATGCTTCCATACATTGACTACAACTGCCTTAGCTCCAAGAGTCAAACAGGAACTTTTTCAAGTTAACATAAAACCTTTATATTTCAATTTTTATATAATTATACACAAATTAAGAAATATTCTTGAATTGATTTCAAGTAAAAATGGCAAAAATTGACTGCACACATTGAGAAATCTCATCCTTGCATCTAAATTGCTTTATTGTGAAATAAACCGAAAAGCAAAAAATAGACAAATGCATAAAAACAAACCTCAAGAAAAGTTTTAAAATTTTTAAACTAAATTAATCCAAAACTGAAAATGAAAAAATAATGAACAACTGGTGTGATTGAAAACATTGTTGATTTCTAGCAACTTGCAAATAGATATTAATTTTTATAAGTTAAATTGGTTGAAAATCTGATAGAATGGTCAATATGTATGACAGTTGTGAAAATATTTACTTTGACATGTTTTGTTGATGATCTGATGTCATTAGAAAAAGAATTTCACTGAAACAAGTGGGGTATGAAGTGTAATTTATGTTAAGCGTCTGAACATTTGATTTTTACTTTAACTGTATCATTAGAGAAATTAGATTTTAACTAATTTTGGTTTTTATTTTATTTTTAGTCTTCATTTATTTACTTCCACATTGTCTAATCTATTTACCATTTTCATTTTTGTATTTTTTAAAGGCTGGTTTGAAGAATGGTATGCTCATTGGTGATGCCCTAAAACTGTGTCCCAATTTGATTACCTTGCCATATGAGTTTGACAAATACCAGGAAGTATCAAAGATTCTGTATGACACTGTCACAAGGTCAGGGGCTCTAAATTATGTAAACTTATCTGTCAAGCTGTTAGTTCCAATCTATGGAATGACTTCTAAAAATCATCTCCCCACCCTCCAAATTTATAGACAAATCCTACACATGCATGCTGGAATTTCTTCTTTGTGATTAAAAAAAGACAATTCTTGGTTTTACCCACACCTTTTTTATCTTTCTCTGACGTCTTTCTTAAGAAAATCATTCAAACCATAGGCTTGTCTAATTCATATAAAGTCTAGGAATAGCATGGATGTTTACTGGAAATTCAACACATCATCGTTTGATAAGAATGATTTTCAGGAACAGTTTTTACTATCCTTGTAGCAGGTATTGATGGGGGCTGTTGTTGGAAATAAATGGTAGGGGTCACCTTAAGGTTGTTTTTAGGTGGTTTGCTGCTTATTTTAGTCAATGGTTCAACCAACATTGATTAGCAACACAAATGGCTATTGAAACTAGATTAGAAAGGGCTATAAATTCAGGAGATAATGGGATAATAGCTAGAGCAGAGCCAAGAAGGACCAAACTCTTGTAGTTAAGGCTAGTTTAAAATGAATGTATTCCAAGGCAATAAATATGGCCACTGAATTGCAAGCAGAAGAACGGATCATTTCAAATCAATACGTCACTAGTATCACATTGCTGAATGGGCGTACAGACATATGTGAGGCTTTTTCCAATTTTATTTTTAGGATCTTTTTTCACCAGGTTGTCCCGTCTAAATGCTGCTCAATTCAACACCTATTTAGCTGACTTCCTTTGCCTCTTTTGTTTAACATAATTTCCTCCACCTCCTCTCCCCAGTAGGTAGAGATTTTCCAAGCGTTGCTTAGGTGTGGCACAAGGCCGAAAGTATGCGGCATCCAGTGAGAATCGAACTCACTTTTTAGTAGTAACTGATCTAGCAAGACAAGCTAACCATTACACCACGCTGAGGTGCCCCCTCTCCCCAGTAGGTAAATGGGGAATAAACTTTCATTTTGTAAGAATGTTTTTCATATTTGTTTTTGTATTTAAATGTGTGAGTGATTGTGTAACTGATTTAAATTATATTAAATCCACCAAATTTTTTTGTCCAATTAACTGGTATCTCTGCCATAATTAGGTTGGGGGTTTACTTTACTAACACTCATTTCATTTAGATCTATATATGTAATTTTTCATTCTATATACACACTGGGAAGATTTTAAATAGATATTTTTTAAAATCTTTTCTCCTGCCCCCACAAAGACTGTACATATGGGATTATTAGGCCAAATGTAGTATGGTTCCTGTGTATAAATGTTTTGTGTGAATGTGGTATTTTGGTAAAAGTGATAATATTTGAGTGAATGGATTGGTGATTGAGGCTACCTAAGTTAAGATAAGTGAAAACCAACCTTTTCCCCATTTGCTTTCATAGCTTATTTGTATGTATTAAATATTCACATTTTTTTTCTTTCTTGCCTTGAAGTCTAAAGGCTATAACCACTTGACTGTATCCTGTTTATATATGGACACTGTTTCTTTTTTTATGTCTTATAATTACTTTGCTATTTTTTTTTATAGTTGCCTTGTATTATGTTGTTCCTTTCTTATATTATTTTACACTGTTGTTACTATGGTTATAGCTATGGTCAGGAATTTTATCAGTTCTGCTTAAAAATGCCTACTTATTCAACAGACAATTTGAAAATAAAAAGGACAGAGGCCTTGAAAAATCTAATTGCACAAAAGCAGGAGACATTGGTTGAATGTAGACAAACAAATAATAAATGACTAGATAAGATTATGAAATAATTAACAGGCTGGTAAATGAAAAACAAATATTCAACCCGATAGAACTATGGCCAAAAATGACATGGAGGAAACTAAATAACATTTGAAAATAAAAATGTTTTACTTTAGAAGGCAACTGAACAATGTCTTTATGTCTTTGATTGTATGAATGTATTCTGTAGTGGATAGTGTTGATGTATTTGTCAGTTTTTCAGATTCTTTTAATCATTATAGAAGAATGTGATTTGTAATGCATAAAGAAATGACAAAAGAAACACTAAAAACATATTAAACTGTAAATTTCTTTCTTCCAAAACATTCATGCTACCTGACCAATGCTATAAACCAATTATGATTGACTTATTGTTTTTCAGTTATACTCATGATATTGAAGCTGTGAGTTGTGATGAAATGCTTGTTGATTGTACAAGCCTGCTGCAAGAAACTGGAGTTGATGTTCACAAATTTATTTCTCTCCTTCGTCAAGAAATATTTGAGAAGACTGAATGTACAGCTTCTGCAGGTTTGGGTAAGAAAATAAACTTATTTTTATTTTTTATTACATCATCCTTTTTTTTATCTATCTGAATTTCTTTGTTATATCATTTCAAATTTGCATATGAAATGGTAATTGTGACAACTGATATCTAACACACAACTTTTTTTATATATAAAAAGAAAAGTGTTTCTGACATTGTTATTGATATTTTTTTAATCATTTCACCACAAACAATGGAATAAAGCCACTAAGATGCAAGGAGGTTAATGAAAGGGAAAGAAAATGAGAAAAAAAACATTATGGAGTGAGAACAATCAAAGAACAAGATTCAAAGAGACATGATGATTTATATTGTATTTAAATTTTTGATGATCAAAATTGACTGGAAAGCAAGAAGAGATTCCAACAAACAAGAAGTGTGGGAGAAGAAACTTATGGTTACATCTAGCAATTTCAACTGTAAAATGATGAGACATTGGCGCCAATCTAATATTGCACTTAAATGTGTAAAGTTGAGGTACCAAGGAAGAAAGCTCATCAGAACAATTACCATGAAAATATTTATGGAAAAGGTACAATGAAGAAGAAGAAGAAGAATGCCCATTAGAATTATTAGGAAAATGAATAGGGAAAACTATTTGAGGGATTCAGCAATTGAGAAATTCAAAATCTGGATGCAGGTGTATTAGATTTGATGAAATTAATTGGTATGATGAACACTGAAGTTGCTAAACAAAGATATTTGCAGATGAATGTAGAGAGAAAGATATTTATGTACTATCAGATATTCTATCTAACAAGCAACAGTTCTGAGAAGAAGGGAACAATAAAGAAATGTTGGGAGCACATATAAGAATAATCCAGAGACTTGGGAGACAATTCCCTTGTGATTGGAAGATGGACCTTAGAATCCTTTCATTAAACAACATATCCAGGAACAGAAAATTTAGTGATAGAAGAATTTAAGATAGAAGAATTTATCCTCCCCCAACACAACCCACTTGCCCAGAGGAAAAGGAGGGTTGGCTATAAAATCAGAAAGATAATTCCTTTTTTAAGTGATACCAAATTACAAAAAGATGAGACATTTGCCCAAACAGAATGTTTCTATATTCATAGGTGCTGGTTTTATTTATTTAATTTAATTTTTTTTTCTCCATTTTATTTGATATAGTGTAACTATTTATGTATTTATATTATTTTATTTTTTTATTTCGTTTTAAATAGTCCGTTACTCTTATTGTTTCGGTCTGAATTTCTGAGATATGAAATTATTATTTACACTTTTTACATTCAAACTATTTTCCTCATCTTTGTTATCACAACATTTCAGCCATTGTGCCCTCTGGCCTTCCTCTATATATTGATTTCAGTACCTTACAGGGAATTCCCAACCGAACACTTTATTTAATCTACTGGGATAGACTGTTCTCATTCCATGTCTAGTTCTTATTTTTACTACTGCTCAGTTATTGCTCATCCATTTCCACTGAGTCTGATATACACTGCCCAGTCCAGGGATTGAACTTAAAATTATATGTCACCAAATTCACAAACCAACGCTTTAATGCACTAGGCTATTATCATGCACATTGCAGCTTACTTGCCTTCACACACACACACACACTTATATGAACGTAATGACTTCTAACTGATCAATTTATTGTGTCAAATCCAAATCTTTTAAGGAGAAATTTTCCATCCATATTTTGAATTTTAAGTATATAACTAGAAATTTTGAAACTTTGTTTCTCAATTGGCCTGCAATAATTCAAACATTTTGTCTCATGATGTTTTTTTCTCATGTTTTATGAAACATCAATCATAATGGTTATGTCAGTCATTATCTTTGACATTCCTTTTATTAATCAAAAAACAAATCAAACGCAACACTGTTTAATCAAGTGAAAATGATGATTAAATCAAGCAGCAAAGACACAAGGAGTAAAATAATGTTTTAGAGTAGTAAAATATGATTTTGTTTGACATTTGACTCATCTTAGGGCTGGAGGTGTATGCTGGGAGGGTCATTTCTGTTTTCCTTCTTTTCTCTGCTGCAAGTGTTTTCATAAATGGAAATAAATAAAAAGAAAGAGGAAACAAAAATCATTATATTCATTGCCATATTCAAAACCTTTCAGCCATTGTACACTCCAGCCTTCTTCAGGTGATTGGAATTTCAAACTGAACCCTTTATTTCGTCCACTGGGGTAGATTGTCTCGGTTATTTCCCTCTAAACACTCCAAGTTTTTTTTCTGTTATTATTATTGCATTTTTACCAGAACTTATATTGCAATTTTTGTTGTTATTCATTGCTTTTCTCTGGAACTCCTTATTACTGATTTCCATATTGAATTCATTTCTATACTTGGTCAGCTCAGGAGATTTTTGTGGCCTAGCATATGTGCTGATTCTTTAAGTTTTCGTATTTTCCAGTGATGCTCTCTGACTATTATTTCCACCTCATTCTACAGGGGGCAGTGATCTCCCTTTTTCTTCCATATGTGGTCAGCTATGCCTGATTTTTGTATTTCCCCTTGTGTTACTGCTTTACAATGTTCTTGTAGTCTTACTTTAAGGGTACAACCTGTTTCTCCATTGTATTTCTTACCACAGCTGCACAGGATAGCGTATATACAGTCCTTAGTCGTGTTTCCTCTATGGGGTGTTTTACTCAGAAGAGGTGTCTGCGAAGTGTTGAATAACCTGAAGAAGGCCAGAGTGTACAACGGCCAAAACATTGTGAATATGGCAATGAAGATGGTAATAACAATCCAAATAATGTAAATAATGCAAGTCATTATATTTATATTTTGTTAATTTCTCTTGTTCACTTCTTCCCAAGTGACTTAGAAAGGTAAGCTGTCACTGCTCATTAAATATATTGGCTAATAAAATGTAATGATCATTGTCTGCTCATCATACAACCAACACTTTCCTAATTAAATACTTGCTGAACAGATGGTTTATCATGGAGAATGCACTTCAAATGTACAATCCTATAACCATTATTAATGAACCTTGAGAATTAAGAGAGAGAAATTACATGGTGGCCTCTGGGTTTTTAATTCTTCTTCTCAATGATTTATTTGAATTTGGTGGTAGAGTAACTAAGTTCAATCCCTAGTACAGTGGAAACAGTAGTAAAAGATGAAATATCACTAGATATGGACAGCAGAACAAGAACAATCTACCCTCATTGATTAAATAAAGTGTTCAGTTCAAAATTCCTTCAAGATTACCTGGATTGACAGACACCTGAAGAAGATGAAAGAGCAGAACAACTGAAATTTTGTGATAATAACAACAAAGGACATTCATCCAAATGTAAATTATGATTTCTTCACTATTTTTTTAAAAAATTTGCAATTAATCTTTTTAGATTGTTTTATCTTTAAAAGAAATGAAATTGCAAAATTATTTTAAAATAAATATATTAAAACCAAATCCTTTGGTCACATTTGGCCTAATTTGTACAATCATTTTATTCTCATTTTTTTTTCTTTTTTTTGTAAATAATTCAGAATGTTATTAATGCAAAATGAATCTAGAAGAGCTGCCATTCAAGACAACTTTTGTGATTTGATAAGACTGGATCAGTTCAAAAATTAATCCAGAAATACCGTAACTTTTCAACTTGTGAAGAAGACCGGTATGCTAATCCTTGTCAAATGCTTTTGAGATATCCAAAGCAACAGCCTGAGCTTCACCATTCTTATCTAAAGCTTGATGGACACTTTCAGCAATAATCATTAATACCTCAACACTTGACCTAGAGAAGTGAAAGTCATATTGCTTATCTGAAAGAAGACTCTGCAATGTGAGATGATTGATCAATTCAGATTAGATTCTACTACTTTGTCGAAAAGTGGTACAACACAAATAGGCTGATAGTTAGAAAGATCTGATGGTTCACCTGAGTTCTTAAAGATTAGAACTACTGAAGAGGATTTCCACCAAGCCAAAAAGCAATCAGGCATTTATTGTAGTGATCCTTTTCTTTTCTTTTGCAGGTCCGAACATTTTGTTGGCTCGGCTCGCAACCCACAAAGCTAAACCAAATGGGCATTTTCTTGTTCAACATGATCAGACTGGTGATTTTATTAAAGCCCAAGCAATAGCAAATATACCAGGTCAGTTAGATTCTCATTAAATACATTAATGAGGAAAGTTTTAAAGCTGCTTTGTCTGAAACATTGACTTTCAATTAAAACAATTTTTTTTCAATTTTGCGAAAATATTTCATCACTTTAAAGGAATTTTACCATGTTTCTGTCTATTTCTATTGTAATTAAACTGCCACAATAGTCAATAATCTTAAGCAAACCTATCTTTTATGAGAATGCAATAGAAACATGTACAGAGCCAACACAAACATCATGATTATTGACATATTTTAGCCTATTTTTTTAATTTCTTAACTTAAACTACGAATAAAACCTATTTCAAGATCCTCTTTGATTTGGTTTGTATCCCCAATGTAATATGTGTCTCACCCTTGATCATTCCAGAATAGACTTTGCAACTAGAAAAGTTAGGAGCAGGTTTAACTTGACAGATAACCTGAGTTCTGACCCACAAAATCAGCCCAGTTGCATGTGGAAAGCAAAGCATGAGAAAGAAATGCATGACATAGATAGATATATAAACACCCAATCTAAAATTAAAAAAAGGAAATCTCTGAGGCATTCTACATAAGACCCACATTTCAAATGAGATCCCTGAGGCTACACACCCACACCCACACACACACACTTGCTGAGAGTAAATGATGAAACCAAGATTTGAATGAAATGTAATAAATGATAAATTCAATCTCATATTCTCCTTTGTAAGTATTTCACTGCAGCAAGATTGATCAGAATTAGGAAAATTCCTTTTAAGCTTTAAATTGCTTTCAACTTTAAAGCTCTGTTTAAAGAACAATATCTTTACAACTGTTTTTTTTTTTTTTTTTTTTTTTTTTTTTTTGCAGGTGTGGGACGAGCAACAAGGTACAAACTTGAGCATCTTCATGTAAAAACTTGTGGTGACTTACAAGAACTTTCGTTGTCAACCCTGCAACAACATTTTGGTCTCAAGACTGGCCAGATACTGTATAATTATTGCCGGGGAAAAGATGATCGATCTTTACAGATGGAGTACAACCAGAAGTCAGTTTCTGCTGAAATAAATTATGGTATTCGCTTTAAAAATGTGAGTCTCTTTCCTCAATTTGTTTTTAGATTTTCCCCTCATCATTTAAAACTATAAATCAATTTCTTTATATGCTGACAAGTTTTTTTTATTTTGATCCACTTCCTAAAATCTAACTAGTTGACCAAACATTAGCAGTTTTGTTTTCAAATCCCTTTTTGAATGCTCTAAGAAGTATCCACATCCCTTTGTATGTATTCTTTTTCTGTTCATTTTACCAGATTGCTTTCAATAACAAGACAAAAAATAATTAAGTTATTTCCAGGAGGGCTTAACATTCACTGCCATATTACAATTATCTGTCTCTGACGTCATGTGTCAACATGATAATATAGGAAGTATGACTTGTAGAATGATACGCATGGATACGTATGTGCATATACATGTGTTGACAATAAAGACATAAACATCAATATGGTCATACTGAACACTCTTCCTCTTTAAATATAGCAAATTTTAAACAATATAATTTCCAGACACACGCATATTTACACAGCAAGTATTCCACCAAACAAGTTTGATTAAAAAGAACCAACAATGTTTGTCTGTTTTTGATGTCTACCCCATCAATCTGTTCAATGTTCGATCCCTATTGAATGGATCACTTCAATCCTTGTCTTGCCTAATGTTGCGTTTGATTTAGATCACAAGGCTGACAAGGATCAAATTGTTGACAAGTCACAAGTAAAAAAAATAAATTGTATAAAAGAAAATGGTTTATATAACATTTCTTGTATGGAGCTGGTATTACAATTATCAGTTCTTCATGCAGGAGTATATATTCATCATGCAAAGTTATCAACCCTTCCCTATTCAATTATTTCATGACACATTGTTCATCATGACTAAGTATAGATAATGCTTCTGCAACACAGCTAAAGCTGGAGGCTTCTTCAGGTAGGAAGTCATGTCAGATTGGATGAAGTGGTCATCTCTCACCTGGTGCCATGAACATCTATTGTGTTGGTCACTTCCACTTTCTGTTTATATCGACCTCTGTCCAAAATTGGTGTTGTGTCTGATGGGTCCTGGAGTTTCGGTATATCCCCTAACCCCTACAAAGTGTCCTTTTTCGTCTGACTCTGGAAAATACCCAATTTTGGGGAGATTCCTCCTCTTAAGAGTAATGTTAGCAGAATATTAATCCACCTTAACTCCTTCCTTCTAATATTGATACCTCATACTAATACCACCAAAGGGGCATGGGCAGTTCCTCCATCCACTTGATATTTCACCTGAGCCCTTCACTTCAGTTGTCATTTTGACAAACTCGATTTTTAGACTGGATAGACAACAAGGTGGGGATTACTTATAATCAGTAATTTTGATTATCACTCAAAATTTTTAACAGGATTCCTTGACTCAAACCCAGGTGTCCCCATGACAGATTTCTTAGTAGTTTTGACCCATGACACTTGGGGCTCAGCTCTTATCTAAAGAAATTTAATTTCTTTAGTGATTTACCCTTTCCCCTATTTTTGATGAGGGATATAAATCAATTATATAACTTCGCTTATGTTCCCAGAAAACCTTAAAAATATTATCAGTTCACTTCCCATCGGTTAAATCTCTGAACCTAGCTTTGCCCATAAAACCAAAGATTTACCAGATGGCTTTCAAGTATACAAGGAATCAGAGGCCATCATTTTATTTATCTTTTTGACCGACTTCCCTTCTTGAGTTATGGTCTGCAGGAAATTCCATAACTCACACTTTAAATAATGATTATCAATTAGTGTCTCCATTTCAGTTTTATTTTAGTAAAATTGTCTGCTGGCTTGAATGTTATTACACCACCTCTCCCCATCCCTCATAGTTTTAAATTATCCAGATGGCTTTTTTGGCTAGATTCCTTAAAATAATAAAGCCGTTAACTTCAAGTCAGCCCTATTCCCCTTTTTTTTCATGGTTTATTCACGGAAGAAAACTAACTTTCTGAATTTTAATAAAATCCTGAATCGTCTCTTGGTATGTTTATCGGCCTATCTCTTAACTCTTCCTGCATCTCATGATGTCACATCTCTCTCAATATAGCTATCGAGCTATCCTTTAGCCCTTCCAACGTCTGATAATATCACATGTTTAAATTTTTAGATTTTAGATTTTGAGTATTATGCTTGACATTGTGGATAAACTGTCCAAAGTTCATATAATGTTATTTTTGTTCAAACACTTTCAACAGTCATACCATGCAGACACCATATTGGCTCTTGAAAATGACTGCAAAAGTTGAAAGTACTTGAATAAAAATAACAAAATATGAAGATCAGACAGTTTATTGACAATTTTGAGCGAAATAATCAACACCTTTTCCAAAAATTGGAAAAATATAATTAAAAAAAATAAATAGATCGATCAGTTTTTTATTTTTGTCTTTTCAAATTGTAGGATACTGACATGAACGATTTCCTTAATAACCTTTCTTCAGAGGTTGAAAGTCGATTAAAAAAAGCAAATAAACGAGGTAAAACCATCACTTTAAAACTTATGGTGCGCCGACCTGATGCTCCTTTGGAAAGTGCTAAATATATGGGTAAGTAACTTTTACAGGTAAAATGGAGACAAATTGAAATTTTTAATTGTTTCAGCTATATTCTCACTATATTTATTTTTTGTGAGTGTGAATGTGAAAGAGAGAAAGGTAAATATAGCAGGTACTTCACCATTTTTCTGGCACCCTTGGTTCTAAAAATGTGCTACATTAACCATTTTGCCAGAACAACAGAAGTCACATAATATCAATTTAATAATACATTTCTGACGCACAAATTATGCAACTCTCATATCTCTATAGCATAATCAACTGCTAGAAACTTCTGTTGGTGTGAGTGTGTGTGTGGAGATGTAATTTCTTGATTATTCATGCTTTGGCAATAAATACTTTTTCTATTTAGTCTAGTTTTTTCATTTCTCTAGGTTCTTTCTAAGCCAAGTCAAAAATGGTTATGATTCACATCTCACCAAGCACCTTGATCTATTTTTTTAATTTTTTTAAATACTAGTTCTGATTGATGTTGTGTGAGTTGATTATTTTGATTCCTCCACAGTTATTTTTCAATGTCCTTTTTCTTTCCCCAAGGCATTTTGCGAGGAAATTAATATCTGATCACACAAACACATTTATTTCTGTTATACTTTCATTGTATTCTCTATTATAACCATTGTAGGAACTTGGTAAAAAGCCAAACCTGAATAATTAGGAGTTGAGAAGGCAATCAAAAGTTATTTCCCCTAATATAAATCGAGTTATTTCCCTTGGCCAGAATCAATTTATTTCCCTTTATATGAATTGTGTGGTGTTGGTTATTTCCCCTCATTTGAATATTATGAATAGTAGGAATAGTTATTTCCCTTGTTACGAATCGTGTTATTTTTACTGATATGAATTGATTTTGCTGCGATATATTTTAAGTCCAAACTTCATTTTTCATTTTTTTCTCTCTTGCTACTTTTGTTAGGTCATGGACTTTGCAACAATATGTGCAAGTCTGTTACACTTGCAATGGCTACAGACCAGGCTTCAGTCATCTCAAAAAAGTGCATGTTAATGTACAAAGCTTTAAAACTAACAGCATCTGACCTAAGAGGGGTAAATATCTTATTTTCCTCATGTATACACTATTCTGTCGAACAATATTAGACTTCATAGGAAGCCTTGATAACAAATTTTATTTGTTGTTCACGTCTTGTTGCTGCTAGCTTTCAAAAAATAAGGATTTACAAATATTTCATATTTTATGGATTATATCTTCTTGCACACAAATTCCAAACTCAATGAAAAATAAAGTATCAATCAGTAACTTACAAAACTACTTCACTGTTACTTTTCAAGAAAAGAACTGATTCAAGTAAACAATATTTTTATTAATAGTTTACTGAATTTCATTAGTTGCCTATAATTCCTGAATTTGTTCTTTTTTAACAGATTGGTATAAGTATCCACCGACTGGAAAGTACCCTAAATGTTGAACCAGGAGGTAGCTTTGTCAGTAGTCACCAAAAGTCTTACAACATCTTGAAATTTGCTAAGACTATCACTCAGGAAACTGATGAATCATCCCCAAGACTACCTTCTTCAAATTCTTCAAATCTCAATGAATCTAGTCCATTAATAAATGACCCCAAAGTAAAACAGATTGATTTCCATCCAATGAATGCAATTCATGTGAAACAGTTTGGAACAATTAATTTTATGGAGGAATTGGCAAGGTTAGTTATGAAATTTGTTTCTCATTTTCACAACTACTATATAATTATTTTTTAATACATTTACATTTAAGATAATTGAAAAAGGTTAGATTAAAATTATACACACATGTGTATATACTTGTGTGTGTGTGTGTGTGTGTGTATATATATATATATATATATATATATATATATATATATATATATAGTGATAAATAAAATTAAATTAAATGTTCACTTTTGTGGTGATGACATCCACTCATCAAAAGATTTCATTGTAAAATTGTACAAAGGCGACATAATTACTTTTATTTTATGTATGTCATATTGAATTTATTTTACAATCATCTGCCCTAACAAATGGATGTAATATCCTTGAAACTCTGAGTAGGTATAAGATAAGTGAAAATTTCATTTTAGATCCTCTATTTATTAATTTCAAGCACTCTAATTATAAAGACTGCTTGCTTTCAAAGCATTATCTTCCAGAAATATACTAAAAAATTTTTTTTTTTTTTTTTTTTTTTTTTTTGACACAATCTTTATGTTATATATATCAGGTCATCCCATAAGTTCTGTCCGAATTTTACCTTTTTTTAAAATGAACGAAATTTAAAGAGTATTTTATAATGTCTAATGGAGCTGAACATTATTTTTATGTTTAGATGCATTTAAACTGATCAAATTTTATTTCAGAGAACAATAAAATTAAATTTTGTTTGATTAAAACCCTGCTAACATGGAAGTACCCAAGAATCATTTGAGGCACATAATGCTTTATGAGTTCAAGAAAGGAAACTCAGCAGCTGAAGCGGCTAGAAACATTCACTCAGTTTATGGAGAGGAATGTGTGAATGAAAGAACTTGCAGAAAATGGTTTGCAAAATTCAGAGGTGGAGATTTCATCCTTGAAGATGAAGATCAAACTGGACATTCCAGTTGAGTTTGATGAAAAGCTTCTTGAAGCAGCTCTTGAAGAAAATCCTGCTTTATCAGTTGAGGAATTGGCAGTGGTTCTCAGTTCAAACCATACAACTATTCATCGTCATCTTCAACAACTTGGAAAATAGGTACCTCATGAATTGTCTGAAAACAACCTCAAATCCTGAGTTGACATCTGCTCTTCTCTCCATTCTCGCCAACTTGTTTCACCTTTTTTGGATAGACTTGTGACTGGCGACGAAAAATAGATCTTTTATCGAAATGTTAAGCATTGTAGACAGTGGCTTGGTAAAGGGGAAGGACCCCAGCCACAGCCAAGAAGGGAACTTCATGGGCAAAAGGTTCTTCTTTCAATCTGGTGGGATCGCCAAGGAATTTGAATTCTTACCACTTAATGCAACAATTAATGCTCAAATATACTGTCAGCAATTAGAGTGTTTGAACCAAGCTTTGAGGAAAAAAAGACCTGCTCTAGTGAATCGAAAAGAGGTGATGTTTCATCAGGACAATGTGCGACCCCACACAGCAAGAATCACGTCACAAAAGATCGAAGAACTTGGTTGAGAGAAAATTCCTCATCCACCTTATTCTCCCGATCTTGCTCCTTCAGACTACCATTTGTTTCGTAGCTTACAGAATCATTTGGAAGAAACAGCTTTTGTAACACAGGAGGAGGTTAAAACTGATATTTGTGAGTTCTCTGAATCAAAGCCAAAAGAATTTTACAGTAATGGAATTAGTAAGCTTGTTAATAGATGAAAGGAAGTCATAGATAATCAGGGAAAGTACATTGTTGATTGAATCTGTAATTAAATGTAACATTTGGTCACTTGTTTTCTTTATTCAAAATTCAGACAGAACTTATGGGATGACCTGATATAAGATTATACAGATTAATGTAATGTTTGGTCATGGATAAACAATACAAAATTTTCAGTTAAATTGTTTATTAAATTTTATGAAAAATTGTTAGTTTAATCATTAATCAATTTATTGCATTTTTGTATGTAATATTATTTACAAAACTAAAATATGAATTTCAACAATTTTGTAGATATTCTTATCATCTAATTAGTTACTTATATAAGAAAATAGATTTTTTTAACATCAACAAGGATGTACAATATCTTGTATTACAGTTTTTGCATTTCCACAATACTCTTTTAAATTTTGATAATATATAATTATACTCAAAATATTGTCTATTATAAAAATATTCACTTAAAGATTTTACAAAATCTTTTGTTGAGTGGGATATTGGGATATAATGTCTGTCTATAGAGTTGTGTGTGTGTGTGTGTGTGATAGAATAGACAGGACAGGTTCAAATTCAAGAAAGTTTTTCTCTAACTTCATGTCCTTTGGAAAAGTGTAAATCTGTTTCTTCTCTATTTGAACAGGCATGACTTTAAATAACAGCATAGATTAGATTCTTAAGTCTTGGGAGGGCAGCAATCTGTCTTTGAGAAAGATACATCTTAAGCAAAAACCCCTGCCAACATGTTATGCTGCCAGGGTAGTAGAATAAAACTGATTACTTTCACTGTTTCACACACTCAAGGAAGGCCTTCTGTAATAGAATGAGCAAATGGCTCACATATATTTCAAGGAGTTTAAATCATAAAGTATAAATTTTATATAGATATTCTATAATTATTTAATAAATTTGGGTGATTTTGTTAATATTCAGAAGTTTATTTGAAGTCAGCAAAAAACAAACTAGTGATGTCAGTTTGTTCAGTATGAAATTGTTTATTTAAATAAAATTGAGAAAAAAATCAGAAAATAATTATTTAATCAAAATATTCACCTTTGGCTGCTGTGCATTTATTCCCATTCAACAACACACCATGATTTCTCTTTGTAAAGAATTTCTCATTCAAATTCAATGAATTCTTCTTTGAACTGATCCTGATTAGAGAATTTTTTACTTTTTAATGACATAGTTGAGATGCATGAAAAATGATAGAATTCTGATTAATTGCAATAAAGTCAACTGATTCAATTTTTGCAAAATGTCAATTCATCAAATTGAATTTTGAATGCATAATTTTACACTGATCTTTAGACATTGTTTGGACACTTTGAAGGCATCTATGATGTATCAAATTCCTGAATAATCAACATAAACTTCCAGTGAAGTACAGTTTCTATAAATGTTTTGGCTTCTCATCCATATCCACCATTTGTGACTTAAATCTCATCCTCTTTCATTTTCACTACAGTCAACTGCAGAAAAAATATTCATTCCTCCATGTGTTTAACCTTTTCAATCATAATTATTTAATAATGTGCAGGTATATCCTGTGATTGATGTAGTTTCATATTTTCATTGCCAATGCCTGTCAATATTTAAACCTAGATAAAAACCACTGATTTTTCTTAGCAGGCAGGCATACTACTTCCAATTAAAAGATAGACAACACTCTCTTTCTACCACTATTTTTTCCTTATTTAGACTTGTACCATATAAGTCTAATAGTATAACGGTGTAATACTTATACAGTGTTGCTGAAAGTGGAATCAGCATAGTAAGTTTAAATTCTGATTAAATTCATTGTGTTCACTTTTACATATGAATTCATCTCTTCTCCTCCCAGCTACAGGTTAAATAGCAGGGCAGAATGAACAATCTAGTAAAAGGACAACCCTTAATTAAAAACTGGCTGGATGTAGGGCTGGCATCTACACCCCATAAAGACCCATATGCTACAGAAACCACAGCATTGACACCTAGCATAGTGGGACTGAACTGAGAGAAGAGTTTAATGACACTGAGAAAGTAGGAGCCATGTACCACACTAAGCTAGATATAGTAAAATTCTCTCTCTCTCTCTCTCTCTCTCTCTCTGTACACACACATGCACAAAAAGGGATGCTGAAAAGTTCTTAGCCCAACTGTTCTTAGCTTTTCCAAAAAATAGATTCGATATTTAGTCAGTTGATCAAATTTGGGAAGTTGATTGTACTAAGCATATTTCAGCACCCCCACCACTTCTATATATAAATTTTCTAATTATAATTAGGAAGAGAAACTGTACTGTAATTAAAGTAAATAAAATGTACAAAGAATTTTTTTTCTATAATGCAGAATGTACCTTATATTTTCTTTTTATAAACAAATCTTTAATATTTTTCTATTTTTCCAGGCAGGGAAAAAGCAGTGGAAAACTACCTCCACTTCCACATCTCCCTTCTCAAGGCACTCATCTTCAGTCTCTAAATTTACCAGCCCCCAAATCTGAATCCGAAGACTTTCTTCCTTCACCTTCACAGGTCAGTGTCTACACTTGCTGCTTTTTTTTTCATTTTAATTAGTTGTCTGGGCCAAATGCATACGCAACATATCTTAGCAACAAAGTTACCCTTGTTGCTATTCTCTAGAGAAATATTGTTAGTTTTGTCATTATATGATGTTTTAATGTTTAGAATATATATTTGTATTTGTAGGTAATAACAGGTTTTGTCACTTCAGTCATCAGTTGTTCCTTGTGGCACTTGTAAATTTAAGCAGGCCTTTATCACATAATAGTAAACTTGTAACATTGGTAATTTAAACGGAAGTGAAAAGAAAAGTAACAACCGTTTGCTACGTTTTGTTTGACGCAGCAAAATACACTGGCTTTTATATATATATATATATATAATGAAAAAGGTTAATGGTCAATTAGACCAGGAAACAGTAGTATTAAAAAGTGCTCAATACATGTGTGAAAAAAAAAAAGTAAAAATAACATGTAGAGATTTTCACTTTAAAAATCAAGAGGTCAGTTGAATCCACCATCTTGGTTTCAACCTTACGGTATCTGCCGCCGATTTTTATCAAATAACCTCTTAACTTTATTTTTTTTTTAAAAACTAATGAATGCTATATTATTTTTTTAAAAAAATAAATAAATAAATGCACGATGTTGAGTGTAATAGAAAGGGAGGAGGAGGATGTGAAGAAAAAGTGGAAAGAGAAGAAAAGCAAGAGTATTATAAATGTATCAGTGGAGCTGTTAGTTGAAATGTACAATTTTTTTTTTTTTTTTATCCAGCCTTATATTTGCTTAAGAGGAATTTCCTAATATGTAAGCAAGGTCTCAAGACTTCAGTTTTCTGGTTCAAAAGGTTCTTTGGATCTGGAAATGTCATAATTGCTAATTTTTCCTGTTGACAGAGGTTGCAAATATTGTTGTGGTTGTTACAATGCTTCCCCTTTTTAAAACATCCCCCCACCCAGTAAATTATTTGCACTCCATCTGTGAATGAGGTATGAACTAATTTTAATGTGAGAAAATGCACTTCTACCAACAGGCCATGTTTCAGGCTTGATACCGCTCTCTGCTCCACTCCACTTGATGTACCCCTACATTAGTAATAATCTGACAATGGACCTACGATGATGACTTATTGGTTACAAGAGAAACCTGTGAAAATAATAAACCCTACAAATAATGGTGCTTCAGCAATACCACCCAAAACCCAGCAAAAACTTCAGCTTGTTTTTCTTGATATCAGCCAATTGTTTTGTCAACCTCCCAAATGCACTTTGAAGTATCAAGAAAACTCTTTTCAAGAATCAAACAAAGAATCTCTGAGCCATTCCATATGTTTTCAAAAACCACTATTAAAAATTCAAACTGAAAATCTTGTAGCATTGCAATGAATCCTACTTTGCCTGTGCTAATTCTAAAACATACCAATTTGAATAATTCCAATGTGTCTCAGATAACTTTGGTAATCATCTTCCAACAATTTCATCCAGTAGTGCTATTCATGCCACCAACTTTGAGAAAAAAGTTGAAATCCTTTTAAAGTTTGGAAAAAAATTTGACATTCATAAATACTTGAAGCTTATTGAGAGAGTACCAAATTAAGTGAATGTGATGAACAATGTACAAATATGATGTTTGCACCAAAAATCTCCTTTATTCTTTCTTCTAATGTCCTGCTATCACACTTGCATCTTTATAACTTTGTAAGACAAATTTCTGGTCACAATTATGTTAGCAATGCAGCTCATCTATCTTTACTGACATTAACATGTGTCCCAAACTTTTCTTAGGCTTTTCTTTTTGAAAAGCCTAAGAAATGATTTGTTGATGACAAATCATGTAACAACTGAGATTTCTTTCAAAGATCCATAGTCTCATCAAACATAACAACAACAACAAATGATTTTTTTTTATCATTGCTTTAATTTAACCTTCAATTGTAGCAGTGATACAATGAATGATGTCATTTTGAATATCAGTAGAAAGTCCAGAAAATACACAGTTGGCATTTTTTCTTCACTAAAACTAAATGCAATCTTAAACTATCATCATATTCTGCTATTACTTCAAATTTAGACAGAAAATGATCCTTGTTTGATTTTTCTGTTTCATCCTGTCCTTGAAATGATAATTCTCATGAGGCAAACATTTCAGTATGAAGAATTAACCTTTTCAATATATCAGGTTTTTTCTCAACTGATCTATTATGCAAATGAAACAAAGTTGCTTTCCAGTATGTGTTACACCACTTGGCTCTACCAAAAGGACATTTTATACGGTGCTATTTAAGTCTATAAAAATGCAAACATATTATCTCTCTTCCTGTTTTTCCCCTCTTTACTTCCAGATGTTGTTGAGCAGAGATAAAGAACGTTGCTGCTGAGAAGCATTTGCTTCCTTGGTCCTCTGTTGACTGAACTCTTGCACATACACACACATCTGTATCACACATGCTTGGTCCTTGCTTAACTGTACTCATGCACACATATATCACATGCTTCTTTCACACACACACACACAAACAAGCACATTCTTATAGCTAGTTTTAATGTCTTTTCCTTTGATTTCAACTGTGTACACATTCAATTCCTTTTGTTAATAACATGCATTGTCACTTGTTTTAAATTCCATGTTTTGTGTACTTACTTTTACGTGGACTCACATGAGTCTGCCAATATTGTTTGCTGAACAAATGTTCCATGTATTCTGTTAACAAAATAACAGATATAGGGAAATAGAACAACTTATTCAGAATGGGATATTGCGTTATAAACTCACTTCTATCCTTGACTCATGTCGTACTATGCAGCTCTGCCCTCTTGGCAACTGTGATGATGTGGTAAACATCTCTTTCTGTTCCCCCAACAGCCAAGAACCTCCTACCAACAGAATATCTTTCTGTTATCAACAAGCAGATTGGGACTTGTTCTGTGATTTCCTTCATGATGTCCCTTGGAATGAAGTCATTAATCATCCTGTTCAAAAATGTGCATCTAAGGTCTCCTCCTTGGTGAAAGCCTGTATCAATGCTTTCATTCCAGCAAGAAAATACCAAGTTAAATCCCATTTATCTCCTTGGTTCTTACCTGCATGCTCGGCCATGGAAATTACTTCTTCCAGCTGTACTAGAACAACACATTTGATTGCAACAGACATCTCTTTGTCTCTGCTCGTAATGAGTGCAAGCATGTTCTCAAAGAATCAAGGTTACTGTTTGCTGATAGAATGAAACACCATATAGCATGTTGCAAGTTCAATTGTAGAGATTATTGCAGCTCTACAAGAGTGTGCTGAACAACAGCAAATCCTCAATCCCTCCTCTGTTCAATTAATTTGAAGTCCTGATATCTACAGCAGATGAGGTTGAATGCTTTGCTTAGAAATTCTCTTCCAACTCAACACTTGTCTCCTGGAGTATCTTTACCAGATTTCACAACCAGAACAGAGGCTTTACTAAGTGATATACACATAACCCCTTCACTGCTCCCAGACATCATTTCTAAATTAAATTCCCATAAGGCAGGCGGAAGTGAAGGAATCCCAGCCATCATCCTAAAGAAATGTGCTCCTGAGCTGGCTCCGGTGATCTCCAAACTCTACAACTATTGCTTTACTGCTTCCTGCCTTCTGTAGTCCTCCTCTTTAGTTCCTGTTTTTAAGAACTCTGGAGAACCTTCTGACCCCCTCTATCAGGGCATTTAGTCTCCTACCTCTTTTTGGCAAAGTATTCAATCAATGCTGATGTGGTTAATCATCTTGCATCTCATGACTTACTCTCTGACAAACAATATGGCTTCCATTTTGCCAGGTCTACCACTGATGTGCTAACAAACATCCATGTATATCAAGCTCTTGATAATAACAGCAACGCTCGAGCTGTGGCTCTAGATATCTCAAGGGCGTTTGACAGGAGTTGGTATATTGGTCTTCTATGTAAGCTCCAGGACTATGGTATTACAGGACGATTGTTTGATTTAATCTAATTGTTTCTATGAAATCATGAAATGAAGGTCATTTGGAACAGGCTCACTTCCAGATCCTGTAACATGAACACAAGTGTCCTCCAAGGCTCTATCCTAGGACCTAGCTGTTTCTGATCTTAATCAATGATCTTCCTGATGTCATCAGTTCCCAAGTAGGCATTTATAAAAATTACACTACCATTTACTCCTGCTACATCAGAGCTGACAAAGTTAACCTGGCTGCTGCTCTTGAAAAGGTCCTCCAATCAGTGATTAACCAGGGTAAAAAATGGCTTGTAAATTTTAATGACTCTAAAACAGAACTGTTCTCATTTAACCACCATAAACTTTCCTGCCCACCATCATGGCTGATGATAGACTCCTGGAGAGCAACATAACTGCACCTTCTTAGCCTCATATTTTCAACTGACTTGAAGTGGAACAACTACATTGTATCAATAGCTGCATCTACTGCAAGGAATGCTGTGCCATGCCAGAAGGTTTTTCTTGTCAGCATCCATATTGCACATTTACAAATCTACCATTCATTTATGCATTGAATACTGTTGCCATATCTGGTTTGGTGCTTCTGCAGTCCATCTCAAGGTTCTTGACAAAATCCAAAGAAAGATCTGCAATATAATCAATCCTGATTTGGTACTTCAGTCACTTTCTCACCAACGTGATGTGGCTTCCTTCTCTCTTTTCTACAAATATTTTCATGGCAGCTGCTTTTACTTGCTTCCATGATAAATACAGTCTTCAAAAGTCTAATAGCAATATCATTTGCCATCTTTTATCTTCTTGAATCATGTTCATCTTTTATCCTTTCCTCAATTCCCATATACCCAGTCTTTTCTCTCAATTTCACTCTCTGTAACCCTCGTGTACTTTGTGAGATTCCCCCCCCCCGCCTGCTTGGGGTGAAATGATTTAAAAAAATTAAAAAAAATACTGTTTATAATACTTGGACTCAAAATGACAATGACACTCCTTGTTGCCCATTTTCATTTCAAGCTTTGATTTCTCTTTTCTGGGAATCATAACATTCTTCCTTTACGAAAGTAACCAGGTATTGAACTCACAAGGGGCACAGTGGATAAAGGCGTTAGTTAAATCCAATGACAGGAATCAAAGAGTGTGAGTTCAATACCTGGTTAAAGCAGTGGAGAACTTTCAGAGGGGAATTAACAAGAGATAACTGACATCCATTAGACATGGCACATGGAACTAGAACAGTCTACCCCAGTGAGCGAAATAAAGGGTTCAGTTCAACATTCCAACCACCTGAAGAAGGCCGGAGTGTACAACAGCCAAATCGTTGTGATAAACAGGGCAACAAAGATGAGGATAATAGTCCGAAAAATGTAAATAGTGTACATAATACCTCATCTCAGAAATATAGACAGATTTATCAATCAATTTTAAAATGTGTGTCCCAATTTGGTACAAACTAATTTATTAATAGTTTTATGCTTATCGTTTTTTTCATATTCATGTAGATGTTTCTCCTATTAATTTTTCTATTCTCTTCTTTTTTCCTCTTTTTCTTTGGAGTTATGATGTGTTGTCTTTTAATTTTTTCTAACTTTCATATTTCGCTTTCTTTTTTTCCACCTTCTTATCCTCTCTATGCTTTTACCTGTGTTCTTCTTATTTTTTGTTTTCCTTTTATGGATACCTTTTAAATATTTCTTTTCCTTTTATTGTGTTTCTCCTTATGACCTTTTAAAAAATTGGAATAATGAAAAAAAGATGTTTCATAAGTAACATTTTTAAATAGAATTGTTTATAACCATCATTGTTCCTCACCTGTTGAAAAGTGTTTGCACCAAAACAGAAATGCATCTTTGTCGTAAGTACTTGTTTGTCCGTATGTAACATCTTTATAATAAATAACTATTGCTCTACTCTTTGTATTGACCCCACTTTTAGATTAATGCTATAAACGTTTGAATTGATATTCTTCTCATTCTCATTGATATATATTATGAAATGGACAAAGTCCGATAATTATTTTAAGACATTTTTATGTTTATACATTCTTTTTATAGATACAAATATTTAAGTAAATGCTCTGTTTTATAATAAACAGTATTAATAACATTTACCGGCCTGAATGTTCGAGAAATTTTCATAGGAAATATCCGTCCTCCGACAGGAATCGAACCTGTATCCTATATGGAACCGTCATATAGCCTGACGTGCCTTAACCGATTGAGCCACAGAGGATCGTTCGATTAGCAATATGAAATGGACAAAGTCCAACAATTATTTTAAGACATTTTTATGTTTGTTTTATGTTTGTCCATTTTATGTGTGACATCATTTTTTTACATTTGGATACGCTTTGAGCAGATATCAATGTACATGAGAGATTCATGGAAGATTGACATTTAAAAGCAGTAAAATCGACCTTGCTAATCGAACAATCCTCCATGGCTCGATGGGCATTTTTTTTCGGACATTCAAGCCGGTAAATGTTATTAATACTGTTTATTATAAAACAGAGCATTTATTTATATATTTGTATCTATAAAAAGAATATATAAACATAAAAATGTCTTAAAATATATATATATATATATATATATATATAGTATTTACATTAGTCGGACTATTGTCCTCATCTTTGTCACCATATTTGTCACAACGTTTCGGCCGTTGTACGCTCCGACCTTCTTCAGGTGGTTGGAATTTCGAAATGAACCCTTTGTTTTGATCACTGGGGTAGACTGTTCTAGTTCCACATGCCATGTTTCATGGATGTCAGTTATCAGTTATCTCCTGCTAATTTTCCCTCTGAAAGTTCTCCACTGCCTTAACTGGGTACTGAACTCACACTCTTTGGGTCTGTCACTGGATCTACCCAACGCCTTTATCCACTGTGCCCTGTGATGGCACAGTGGATAAAGGCATTGGGTAGATCCATCAAATTGACATCCATCAAACATGGCACATAAAGATGAGGACAATAGTCCAACTAATGTAAATACTGTACATAATACCTCATCTCAGAAATATAGACAGACTCTGAGAGATATATATATATATACATACAAGCATCTTTGGTTGAATAGTCTAGGAATATGTCTTTTTATTTTAGTCCTCTCAAATTCATGGATTAATTTCTTTGTACTGTTACAAAACTGATTAAGAGGGATGCTGTAGTTTTGGTACTTTCAATATCATCCAAGAACATCTTCAGAGGTGAATTGCTAAGACAAAAAATAATGCAGTTGATAGTTGTGAATTCTTTTGTAAATGCTCATGAAATTCAATCTGTTATAATCAATTTAAAAATTAACATTAAGAATATGTAAGGGAGCTAACTTAATTATGTTTTTTAATTAATGTTTTTAAATACTCAACCTGCAATATTTTTTCAAAATTTGTTTTACAATTTGAGAATCCCAAAATATTGCTTTTATAGACATTTTAAAACATTGTTGCTATAGTCATAATTAATTTTATTTAGTGTTAGTTGCATTTATTTTATATAGACCGCTTTAATAAAATAAAAAAAAATAAATAAAAATAGACATAATTTATCTAGATTATTTGGCCAAACATTGCTTGAATGAAAATATGCTACTTGAATAAATATATATATATAATCAGTTCATTGTATTTTCTTTATGGTCAGATTGATGACGAGGTCTTAAATGAGCTTCCTGCTGATATTCGTCACCAAATCCAAGTTGCTTTGAAGCAGAAACAAAAGAAAAAAAGTCTCAAGTCAGGAAATCTTCCACCTATTCAACCAATCGATTCTAATCAACCTGGTTGTTCCCACTGGACACCATCTAATTCTTCAGATTTTGTGCATGAAGAACTGGAAGCCAGAATTGAAGAAGTGAACACTCTAACTGCCCATAATATTTCAGACATTGAAAGAGAATTATTACCAAATTTGTCTCAGGTAAACCTATATGCATTAAATATTTGTGTGTGTGTGTGTGTGTGTGTGTATATATATATATAATGTGTGTGTGTGGATATTGAGATCAACACCCAGCCATGTGTGTTTTGTTTTGGCTTGACTATTTACATATACTGTTCAAAGGTGCATTATGGGTAAAAGGTCTATTGTATTATCCTTACAATTATTCTAGAGACGATTGAGTGGATAATTGTGAATCTGAATACATCATTATTTTTTGTTGATTATTATATTTACTTGTGTTTATATGCACATTCATAGGTTGTTAATTTGTTTATTATTTACTGGTTTAGATATTTTGTTTTATTTTACTAATTTTTTTTACTTTTCAATTTTTAAGTAATATAGTAAAAATTTGTTTTCCTGTCTGCATTTATTTAGTAATTTTTGTTGGTCTGGGAAGGTAATTATAGCTATTTTCTCATCCAGACAGAGTTTACAGTTTTTGGATTTATTGTTGTAGGCTGATACTCTTTTCCTTATTTTCGGTGTAATTTGGTTTCTGTTTTTAATTTTCCGTACATATTTAGAAAGTATTATTTACTATTTGTAAAGGATGCTTTGTGTGCATAATTTTTCTGTTCCAAGGTCCTTCAGGCTCTCCTATATATATTTTTTCTTTATTTGCTGATTTTTACAGTGGCTTGGTATATTATATTGCTTTGCAAGCAATTGCCATTTAAGGGACATTCACTCTTTGCCCTACAGTTACATGTGGTTTGATTTGTGTCAGTGGTTTCTTGGTTCCTTTTCTGTTGTGCATTTTTTATTATTTGTGTCATGTTCTTAGGTCAACTGTACTAATATTTAATGTGTTTTTGTTGAATATCTTGTGGATCATGCTTTTATTATCAATATAAAGTTGCCATAACCTCTTGTGAAAGATAGTGGAGTGGTTTTCTGTTGTCTTTTACAAAGTTTGCAGTTTTCTTTCTCTTCGACTCATTACCACTCAAGGCTAGAGGGCCCAGTCTGCTCTGTTATTTAACCCATAGCTGGTATGTGAAGAGATGGTTTCATGCCTTTCCCAAGGGTGTTTGCCCAAAAGTGAATGAAACAGACTCTGTCAGAATTTAAACTTGGCTTGCCAATTCTATGTTCTGTGACAATATTAATTATATTTCATGTATATCCAATATTTTGATTACCTTTAATAGTGGTACCTTGTGGTGGGGTTGTTTGCATGCTGCTATGATCTGGTGATATATGCAGGTCAGTGGGTAAGAGTTAAACAAAACCATAGTCATGTACATGAGCAAACCTCAACGACAAAAATCCTGGAACAGACAGCAGCTCTTTATAGATAAGTAAGCATTGACTGATACATTGGTTTGATATGCAATGATCAATGGTGGATGTTAAATGACATTATTAACTACTACGGCATAGCCAGTTCTAGTTAACTGAATACTGCAGTGACTTAATATTTGTTACCACTAGTATTGAATTTTACTTACAATGTCAATTTGGAAGCAATTGAAAACAGCATAACTAGTAAGTCTTATTGGAGAAACTAGTTAATGGTGTTGGTGTTTGCTCAAAATACAGAAGAAAAATTATAACAGATTATTCATAGGACATTTACAATTATTGCCTTATGGCGATATCACATTGAAACACTGGAGTTAAGCAATAACAAGCCTGGTCACCATTTGGGAATACCAGGTGCTATAAGCTTGAATGTGTGGGTAGTGTAATGGATAACAACTCTGAATTGGAAATCAGTTCTTCAATTTCCAATTCCAATTGGGTTTGTTATATTCATTTACACATTAATACTCTTGGGAAAGGTATAAAGATCCACCTCTTCTCCCCTAGCAATGTATTAATTAGTAGGTTTTGTATCAGTAAATCATTATTATCCACATAAAATTCTTACTTTAAAAATATTTTCTGGCTTTAAATAACCTGCAAAGGATAATAAGCTGTTAAAAACAAATCAATCTAGAATTATCAATATATTTACTTAAATTTTGAATTTACTCTCCATTGAAAGTAAATGTCATAATTTTCTAGTTTTATTTTACTTACAGTAATTTTACTTACATCTTAAGAGGAATTTCATTATTTGAGAATAATTTTAAATGATTTTCTAGTAAAAATATGTTTTTTTATTTTCTTAAATAACTGTCCATTATTATGATTTTTATTTGATTTACTTTTTGACATAGGTTGATGAAAACTGCCTTAATGAACTTCCTGAAGACATTCAGCAGGAAATGCGCACAGCAATGAAACAAAGAGAAATCTGTAAACAAGATGAAGCGATTGCTCTGTCTGCAGCAAAAGGTAGCTCCTCTGCCACATCCCCATTAAAAATGATGGTCCTTCTATCCCCAACAAAGGATTCATCTCCTGGGAAATCCCGAGGAGTTGGTCAGAAGAGGAAATCCCCACTGAAGTCCAAGAAGTCACCAGGCAAGAAGCGGAGCCCCCATTTCAAAGTACCTCGTGGTCGGCCAAGAACAAAAAGAGGCATTGGCTCCAGAACAGTACTTGATGCTAGAAAGGTAAAAACAAACCTATCAGTCCTCTCCAAACTCACTATTTTAATTTATAACTATGTATCCTTCCTGATGAATTTACTATATTAACTGTTCATTTTTTCTTCTTTCAACTTTTTGCAATGATGGTTTTTATTTAATTGGTTGAAAAAAAACAATTAAAATTTAGAGTATATGAAAAAACAATTGCATTTAATCCCTATCCATATATTTTGAAAATAATTCATGAGATTAATAGAACATAAGTTGGAAGCAATTAAGCGAATTTCACACACACACACACGCTGCATTCTTTGCTTATTTCCATTTCTGACCTAAATTTTTGAGGAGATACTTTAGAATACAATAATATTGAAAGCAAGCCAGCTTTTATTTCTTTATTAATTTTCTTATTCCATCCTCAACATCTATTTTTATTTTATGCATTTTGTATGGGAGACTGTGCGTGTATATATATATATATATATATATATATATATATATATATATATATAGGGGCACGTGGCTGAGGGATTAGAACATTAAGGTTCTGACAATGAAAACTAGATTTGAATCCCACCATGGTGCCTGAAAAGCATACCATAGACTGACTGAAGCATAAACAGAAAAAATAGAACTGTTCAACATGACTGAGGTTTAAAGCATGCTGGCCTTGCTTAAACTGTTGATCATGTCAGACTATGTACCTTTTATATATGTTCTATCATACAGTGATGTGATTGGATGCCTGGGGCCATCACACCCTCCGCCCACCTGTCTGTCTGCGTGCCTCCAATGTCAGTGAGGTGGGAAGAATGTCAAGAAAAATCAGATATTCTGCTAATTTATTTCATTAAAAGGAAAGTTTTCAATTCCATCATCACAATACTGGTCTTCTTCAGGAGACAATTTACTGGTACCAATTCAATAAGATTTGTCTATTGATTTTATCCTAAACCAAATACCTTTTTTCATTCAACAACTTTCTCTGCAGATATCTTATTCTTTCTCTTTATATAGAAACTTTTCTTGTATGGAGATATTGATAAAAAATACTCTGAAAAAAAAACACCTGTGTTGCCCAGTGCCCAACCACCTGACCCTCCTCCTAGCCATGCTTCAACAACAATCAATTTATGTGGTGCAGTTACTATTTCTGAGATTCGAGACCTTCTTCGGGAGTGGCTGACTACTTGCTCAGGTAAGTAGACTCTGAGTAAAATAAAACAAATTCCTACAGCTTGTAGCAAAGTAGATATTCTTCACTGACAAAATAGGTAAATTTCTTGAATATCTATAGTTAATATAATTGCACAATTCTTTAAATTATTTTTAATTTTTAGTGAGTCTATATCTGAATTTTAGAATTATGAAGATTCTCTCTTAATTCATTGTAAATTTTCTGTTACATTAGGAATTCTTCTTGTCTTAGATCTCTGTAATTTTGACAGGAAGCATCTAATGTAAGATAACTTAATTTATTGCAGACAAAAATATTCATATCACAATTCATTTGGTACATGCAAAAGATCCACACTTTAAAAAAAAAAAAGTCTCATTTTTTTCAAACTGTTTATTCAAACTCTACTTTATTTTTAAATACCAGTTCTGAGAACTTTTTCATGCACCTAATAATATACAAAATATTTTGTCAGTGCAATACTCTTTCTCAAAGAAAGGAACTCAAAACTAATTTCCTTGTATTTTTCAGACCCCACTGTTGATGATGAATTATTTGTGATTGATTATCTGAAAGCACTTGTTCAGGACAAAAATCTTGAACAAGTTGATCTAGTTTTAAAGTTTCTCTACAGGTAAATTTTTATTTTACATAATTTTCCAAATTTCTTTTTTGTCTGTCATCTCTTAAGGGCATCTAAAACTATAGCCATCAAATTTTCTGCAGTCACTAATGGGATGCTGGAGTACAATTTTAGCAGAAACCAAAGCTATAACAATTTTTTCCATAACTTTCTTACTTTTGGCTTTCTTCACTTACCAGAAAATAAATAAAAAAAACGAACACTGTTGTATTTCCATTAGTAGTGCAAGTGATGATTAGCAGGGGGTGCTATAAATATTAATCCTTTGATATATTTAATGAATTGTAAGTCTTCACAAAAACATAGTTTAGTGTTACACCTTTTTTATTGCTGCCAGAAAAAGGGCAACAGACTGGGAGTTACATAAAAAATTGTCATCCGTTGCAGGATATGATGATTCCAGTGGGTGATTTTTGCAAAAGATGTTTTTTTTTAATTTAGATTTTCCCCCAAAAAACTGTGTCCTTGAAATCTTTTATGAAATTAAATGTGATGGAAAAGTTCATGATGGCATTGATTTTCAAATAAGATTTGATTCAATAATACATTTAAATCCATAACTTTTTATTGGATCCAAAGGCTACATTTTAGCCTTCTGCTGAAACTTGGTTTAAATACTGCCTGTGAATTTATCCAATTTGATATTTTTTTTAACTTACATGATAAAATAATTTACATGTAAATTTCTTGTGTTTTTAAAAAAAAAAAAATTGAAATTAACCTAAGCTTTTTCATATTGACTGATGTTTGCTTTCAGGAACATCTCTCGTCTAAATGCTGAAAACTGGTTAGTGAGCCTTCGGAACATTGTTGAAACAGTCCAAAAAGCAGTCATGACTCAATACAAGAGCAGATTAAAACTTGGGTTCAGTCTGCCTACCACTTAACACCAGATGCCGCTTCTTTACTGACCACAGTCTTTCACTAAATTGTTACTCGTACTCTTTTTAGACTTTTAAATAATCAATACTTTAAATCATTGTATCCACCAGATCATGATAAAATATTCTCATATTGAGTTACCTCCCTTATTAGATCGCCTCTTAATTTAAAATGAAATCAAAACGAGGTAAATGAATTATTTAAATTTTAATCATATTTATTATACAAATAATTTAAATGAAATAATGTTGGTAATAATTTAAAGAAATAAAGATTTTTAAATCATCTATCATTAATTTCTAACAATAATCCCATTCCTCTTTGAGGAACGCTACCTGAATATTCCCATTGTATAGGAACAGATGCCTACTGATTTTCAGATTGTATACAACTGAACATGTCTAAGCTATTCCTCTATAATGATGAAGTTCTAAGTATTGTCTCACTCTTTAAACATCAGATTCATAAGAATATCATAACATCTAATATTATATAATGTGCAATTTATTTTTTTATAAATTATCATTATATCTACATGGTTTTGATTACAAATATGTACATGGTTCTTATATCTACTCTTATATAATAAATCAATAATTTTTTCAGTCTAATATCCTTATCATTATTATTTTTATCAATTGGCCTTCTTCAATTGATCAACAAAAGGTTGAGTTGAAAACAAAAAACTGTTAAGAGATGTTAGCATTAGACTGCAAAATCATAATATAGCAATTCCTTATCACAAAATTTCCATAAAAATGATCCTAAATAAAAATTATATAGTAGCAAATGTTTATCATGTAATCAGATTTCTATCATCTTTTATTGCATATATTTGAAATCTTTTTAATCTCTTGTGGTACCTTGAACTAAGCTAATTGTTTGCACACTTTAGCCAAAGAAATATGGAATTAATTGTACAAAACTGTGCTTTCTTTTCATGCTTCTACTGTTTCATATAAACAACATTAGTGTAAGAAATGTCTGAATCTCAAGTGATAATGGAAAAAAATCAATACCAGCCGTAAAAATCAAGGATATCTTCATTAAATTGCCTTGTTATTTTGTTTTGTTTTTTAATTTATTATTTTACATTTTATTAAACGTAAAAAGAAAAATTCTATAAAATTTGGTTTTATTGCCGTATTTACACACAGTAAATAAAAATACTGCCTACATTCAAACAGTCTGATTGAATCAAAGTATGTTATTAATGTTTATTTCTTTTGGGGAAAAGCTTCCTTTTGTGAAACAAATTTAAAGGTGGCACTTGATGATCTTGGTGGTAGTAGCAGCAACATCAGATTTATTTTTTGATGGGCTACATCTTATTCAGACAGAGAATGGAGAGAGACAAAGAGATTGAACAAAAAAACAAGGTTTCTTTATTTCAATTTGTCTGAAAATATTTCTTTCTCAGTAGCATGGGTTTCAGCACACACCAAAGTGTTCTGCACTCAAACAGCAATTGGGAATTCTTAGCAGATTTTTGTTATTAAAAGATTTTTCAGTCCTAAATATATGGTTTGATCATCCCATGAAACATGGCATAGCCCAGATAAAATAACCAAAAAGAATATTGAATTCAGCATCTCAGATTTTTGGCTTAGGCAATTCCTGACTAATGTTGGCGAATATAATGCATACTTTGAATCAGTTCACAGACTTTTGGTAACTAAACTGATAACACCAGCCAACAAAATAGTTCACTTCCACTTATGTAAACCACAAAAAAATTCCCTTAAAAATGAAAATATTTTGTGATAAACTAGAATCCAAAGTGATATCCCTAAATTTTCAGCCAAGTAACATTGAAGAATCACAATATAATCATATCTTCTTTAACGCAAACATGTGAGACCCTTCCTAAAGTAAAATGAAAAAAGATTGTTCCATGAGAAGGTAAAAAGATGCTTAATCACTTCAGCAATTATTAAAGCCTTGAATACTTTGCTGAAAAGAGGTAGAACACTAATAGGGCAATAGAGAGGTCAGAAGGTTCTCCAGAGTTCTTAAAAACAGGAACTACAGAAGAGGACTTCCAACAAGATGGAAATCAGGAAACAGTGTAGCAATAGTTGCAGAGTTTGGTGATAACTAGAGCCAGCTCTTAAGAGCACATTTCTTTAGGACAACATCTGGGATCCCGACACCTCCACTTGTCTTATGAGAGTCTAATTTAGAAATGATATCCAAGACCAATGACAGGGTTATGTGCATATCACTCAGTAGAGCCTTAGTTCTTAGGGGCGAAATCATGTGTGGGTATTCCAAATGAGTCAAATGTTGAGTTGGCAGAGAATTTCTGAGCAAAGCATTAAACCTTATCTGTTGTAGATGTGAGGACTTCAAATTGATTGAATAGAGGAGAGATTGAGGAATTGCTCTTGTTCAGCACACTCTTGCAGAGCTACCAATATTCTCTAGAACTGAACTTGTGAGATGCTATACATTGTTTCAATCTATCAGCAAACAGTAACTTCACTTCATTGAGGAAACAATTACACTTGTTGCAAGCAGAGACAAAGAGATGCCTTTTGCAATGAGACGTGTCTCTCTGGTACAGCCAAAAAAAGTGATTCCTGTTGGCTATAGCAGCCAAACATGCAGGTGAGAACCAAGAAGATGAACATGGTTTAATTTGTTATTTCCTTACTGGAATGAAAGCATCAATGCCAGCCTTCACTCAGGAGGAGACCTTAGATGCACATTTCTGAACAGGATGATTGAAAACTTCATTCTTAGACATGTCATAAATGAGTCCCAATCTGCTCATTAATAACAGAATTATATTCTGTTGGAAGGAGGTTCTTACCTGGTTGGGGAGCAGAAGGAGATATTTACAAGCACAACTGCATGATCAAAGTTGCCAAGAGGACAGAGCTGTTTAATATGACAAATCAGGATAGAGATAAAAATGAGATTGAGAAGTGTGTCAATCAGGGTTACTGGAGAAATGCATGGGGAAGTCAACCATTTGCATGAGAGCTTGAATGAGAAATTAAGGGTTTGGATGCCAGTGAGGTCAGTGACGGTGCTTAAGCCACCTGGTATGGTGGCCATTAAAGTCACCAAATGCAAATATATTTGTAAACGGGTGTATATAGATGGCCTGGTCTATATTATCAAAAATACTATCTAGCACAGAACAGTCTTGAGAGGAAGGGCAACAGTAGAGAAAGAAGAGATAGCTAAGTAGAGAGAGATGGAGACACATGTAAAAATGGTCTTGAGATTCAAGAGATAGAATTCCCTAGCCAGCAGGAGATGTTCATGGATATAAACTCCCAGGCCATACATGTGGACAGTAGAGTCCATTCTAAGGAAAGGAAGGTAGCCAGGAATCAAGAAATCAGAAGAGGGGATTAAAGAGTTAAGATTATTTTCACAAAGAGTTAGGATGTCTGGAGACTTTTCAAAGAGGAATATTTTCACACTGTAGAAATTAGTACAAATACCTTGAATGTTGAAGAAAAAAAGGTTAAGGTGTTTTTTGTTTATTTCTTTGGTTGTTTATAGTCATGATGTGTTATTTTGGTAAGGAATGGCTTAGGGTAGTAGTAGCAGTTGGCCATCTAATGTAATGTGCTTGAAGGAAACTGGTGCAGACTACAACATAGTGTGGCCTAAGGGTTGCCCACCAAAGGTGCTTGCAGGGACACCCTTCCATTCACAACATAGCACTGCAAGAACCCCAATATTATGCAACTGTTGATCGGAGCAACCTCTCAAGATGCTATGCAAGAGTTCAGGCTCCTAACTACCACCCAGGAATAGCAACCAGATAACTGCCAACCCGGTGCCCTAAGTCTGAAGAGACGTAGCTACTATTCATGCATAACACAAAAAAGTTCATGACAGAACCACTATTAATGCCAGAGAAAAGGAAAGGAACTGAGACCCCCTTCTGAAACAGGAAACAAGAGATGAGCCTCTACTCCTGTTCAAGAAAAGAGGGAGGGGTATGTACTGGGCAATAGGTGAACCTATCTACTATTAAAAAAAAAAAGAAAAATCAAAAACAAAGAGCAGTCCAAAGTTTGACTTCAGATAATTCATTGTAGAAACAAAAAGGTTAATACTGAAGACCTTCATGTTTAGTTGGATTTGTTATAGTGAAAGTAGTAATGAATATTAGTAAATTCTCACCCATTCTATGAAAGTCAACTTCTAACAACCCTATTTAGCTTTTTATTCTGATAAGGGATGCAACAATGGCATATATGTCATCAAGTAAGTTCATGAAATTGCATAACAATTGAATAGAAAATGATATACTTGCTATGTTTATCTCTTAGAGGCATATGACCCCATCAGTAGAGATTTCCTCTTGTCAGCCATCAGAAACCATTTTAAAAGCTTTAACTCTACTGAATGTCTTGATCTGATAGAGGAACTATATCTTGTCCAAATATCAAATCATTTCAAACCAAAGTATGACAAGGGGGAAATGAGATCCCTAATCTATTTAATCTCTTCTTGAAATCACAGAAGTGAAGAAATTGGCATTGATCCAATTCCATTCACATTTCAAACAAATCTATTAATAGAAAAAGTGTTCCTGTTTTACCTCCCAAGGCCAGTGTACTGATGATGATGATGATGAGTGCACTAGTGATGAGACAGATAATCATAGTAGATGAAGACTTAAGATAGTAGAAACTATGATCTGGAATTGGAATGAAAATAATGATGTCACAGACACTGAATCCATCATGAATGTTCGGAAGGTGGAATTAATAAACACAAATAACTTAGAGTATTGATCAGTTATAACCTGTTTAATAAAAGAGAAGGAAAATGAAAACAGGTGGTGCTAGGGGTCATTTTGTACTATGATGCTACAAAACCAAAAGTCATATTCTTAAATAGCATTGTCAGATTTGGATTCTTATATGGATTTCATGCATGGTGTCTATCTCATTCAGAAACATTTAAACTATTAGCTCTATACTATCATTTTCTAAGATCAATGATTCAAGTGAATGAATCCTGTCGATCTTGG